GTAGCTGCCTCCACCAGTGTATGAATGTGAGAGTGAATGAATAGTGGCATTTTAAGTGCTTTGGGTGCCTTGAAAAGCGCTATATAAATCCAATCCATTATTATTATTATTATTATTATTATGCTCAACGCCTTTAACAGAGGCTTACGAATTCTCCTTGGAAAAAACAAAACACCTTGACAGATAACCTTCTGTGCTGAGAAGGCCAGTCCCACTGTGGGGTGGACTAAAACTGTTTTGCAGCATTTCTAAGGGGGCGACAGTGCCATCTATAATCAAAGTTCAATCATCCAACTGTTCAAAAATATTTATGTCAGAAATTACCCAGAAATTCCAGAAAAGGTAGGAAACTAATGCAGATGTTTATTTCAGGCTTGCAAGGACCCTGGGTCTTCCCTTGTTCATGGTTTAGGGGTTTGTGAGGTCATGATGGGATTTTTATTTTTTATCTTTTGGGATGACTCCAAAAGCAGGAGAAAAGCAAGGAAACTAAGAAAAAGACATTAAATTTAAGCTTAACCTCCTAGGACCTGGCGTCCACATGTGTGGACATCACATTTTGGGTTGTCTAGACCAAAATACTAAATTTTGCTCTACAAGGGCCGGATATCCACTTATGAGGACATTATACTGCCACTGTTCCATCGAAATTTAAAACCAATGTCCTCATGTGGATCTCATTTTTCTCAGAAACAAAAATCGGGTTAAAACAAAAAACAAAAAAAATCTGGTAATTCTTTGTTTTTACATCAATCAGGTCCCAATCAGCCCAATTAGCAAAGAGAAACTAAAAATGCATGCCATGAAAAAGTTCGGGTGTTAGGAGGTCAAAGAGAGTTCACGCGCTGGGTTAAAAGACAGTTAAACCCTGCTTAAAAGCAAAAGTGCATGTAGGACTACATATTTGAGTGCCAACCTGCTTTCTTGGAGGCAAATTATCATTATACACTTCTTATATGAACTATGAAGCAGGTATTTGTTCCCTGGCTGGCTGGCCTCTCATCTTCGTTCCCGAGAAGCAGATAAACGACAGTCAGTAAGATTCAAGCCAACAAGAAAGTGTTAACTGCTCAACTTGAGTCAATATTGACTGAAAGCTGCCCAACAGTCGTGTTCATGACACAGCGTGCCTTTAAGCAGACAGAGCAGCTCAACGAAACAAGGCCAGAAACGAGCACGTGAAAGGAAACGGCTTCACCGGGTAAGAAAATGTAACCCAAACCCACAACCTGTTGTATCTCTGCCTCCTAACTCCCCCACAGATCTGTATATTAACACCAGGGCTAAACGTGCGTCTTACCTCAGTGACAAAGTTGCTCTGGAGGCCCGCTACATGAGAGTACTCCCACCCTGTGGTGCAGGGCACCCTCTCTCTGGGCGCGTTCTCGGAGAGGTCCGAGGAGTTGGGGGGGTACTTATAAAGTTCACAGTGGCTCCGACCGGAGCCGTTCACCCAGGGGATGGTGAGGTTGAGGTACCCTTGTGTGGAGAAGTTGCTTAGGAGGAACGCGGAGGGCAGCAGCGTCGGGTCTGGCTTGCAGTGGTACGAGTCCGGGATGAGTGTGTAAAACACGTCGCTGAACAGATTCAGCGTGACGGCGAAACTGGGGAACCAGCTGAACACGACCACGATTCGATTATAGCGCCCATAGCCGCCGGTGTGAGGGAAAACCTTAGTTTCATAATCCATTTGAAGTCGACAGCTCGTGGTAACAGACGGTCCGAAGACTTTTACGCAGTGAGAGCGCACAGCCGCACGACGCTGAAGCAGGCAGGCAGGCAGGGGGCGGATCTTAGGGTCACACAGCCCCGGGGATCGACTTTTATGACACACCTGCTACTTGGAGACTGAGTGACTAATTTCAGGGTAATCCCCAGACAGCGGGAGTCCAGGGAGCTGTCAGTAACAGTCGATGCTTTTGATGTCTCCATGTGACTCACAGCTGGACTTGACATGAAGACAGCTACCCTGGTGGAAAGCTCACATTAATTTACAAATTTAAACCTCTGTAATTTCATCGAAACGCTTAACTCACAGCTATTTTCAGGAATTTACTGTTTAATTTTACAGAGGTACATTTTACTCCACTTTGAAAATCTTGTTAAAACACATCAATATTTGTGCTATTTATACAATTTTACACAATAGGGCTCCTCAACCACTTAGTGTATTATTATTACAAGTTAGACAGGACTGCATTGGAAGCGGGCTTATTTTTTCAGCCTGAACTTGCTGTGCAACAGTAGAACAGAATATATGTAATACTTTCAAACCTCAGTTAAAAAGATTGATAATTAGTTTTGCCAGCATTGGCTTTATTCTGCTGTTGCCATGTTGTTTCCCTGTTGTACAGGTTTTCTGGTAGTTTTTGAATGTATTTTTTTTTCTGTTTTTATTTATTTATTTTTAAATAATATTGATATTATATATATTGTTTTGTTTTTAAAATCAGTTCTGAGATTTAAATTGACATATGGCTAAGTCAACTGCATTTACAGCAGTGCTTATTAATGTACACTTTCCCTGTTAAAAAGATTTATTTTTTTAAATAAAGAATATATTATCTCTTATACACCAAGCAGTGTTTGTGACATCAAAGGAAAATGATTTGTTCTTACACAAAAACATAAGATTATGCTGGGTTACACAATGAACTGATTTAAAGTTTGTACGATCTGAAATGTTAATATTTCTTTGAACCCATAAAACACAAAACTGCACTTTGATGCCTGCAGTGTGAGGCACATTTAGAAATGCCTTGCACTTCTGGGATAAATTAACACAAACGTCATTGATCCTATAGTTGGGAAATTCTTCTTTTGTTACTTCAGTTGTTTACTGTTATCTGAACAGCAGGAGTAACATGTGGGAGAAACATCTGTATTGCTTTAGTCTGGTGACTCATAGGACAAACAGGCTTCTTTTGCCTTGTGACTGTGCAGCTCACCTTATCAGCTGCAATGAAATCCATAAATAGGTGAGGCAGTGTTATGTAATCTGTTAGCAGACAGAAGTCCTCTGGGCATGAGTTAAAGGAGGGCTGGTAATTAAGGTAAAAAATCTGATTTACACAGAAATATTAAAGTTGACTCAGTGGACTCTTCCAGACTATGAGTTTAACTAAAGCACGAAATCCACCACTAGATAATTCAGACATTTAGATTGTGAAACGCTACAAAGATTGGACACCAAACACGTCATCCTGCTATCAATAGAAACACATCTTTGGAGTGAAGACGAGTGGCGTAACCAGGACTCTAAACAGGCCTTTTGGGTTGTTTGTGCAACTGCTCTGCCTTAAAGAAAACAGACATGCTTGTTACCTTAAACACTTTCCTGTTAAATTTTTTTAATGGTAATTTAAAAACTGCCATTTTTTATATTTTTAAAAAACCTTTGTGATAATTTTAGTGTGCCATTATGCAAATATTATTCTGTACTTAGCAGGAGCTATTCAAATATGAAAGGATATTATTTCAGTATATTTCAATGTAAATGTTAAAAACTAGATGTGACAAACTATTTTAGTTAAATAAAAGCTAATAAGTAAAAACTAAAAATTTTGTGATCTTGGAAATGTCATTATAATAAAAATGATATTATTTGACTTTAGCATTTGTTAATTTAGTAACGATGAGGCTGATAAAGATGCAATCTGCCTGATGAAGCTTTGATGGACATATTTGACATGTTGCATGTCTCCAAGTCTGTGAGTGAACCGCACAGATTTTCCAAAATCCTGCCTCTGACATCCTCCACAGAATAATTAAATATATGAATTTAAATAATAATTAAAAGAACAATCTAACACTGAAAAATACTAAACTGACACTCATTGTTTTCAAAAAATAAAAACATGAACTGAAATAGTCCAAAATGAAACAAAAAGACAAAAACAACAACACAAAACTACAAAATCTCTGGGCAGCTCTATGAAAACACAAAAACCAAAATGCAGAGAACGGCTGGTAATATTTCAAAATTTTATTAACGAACATAATCTCTGAGGAACAACAGCAGTTCTCGCGCTCTCTGTACATGCAACTGTAGAAAATAACAATTTAGAATTTTTACTTTTCAGTTTTAGTCTCCCCCCCCCGTCCATACTCATTTTCAGTTTCTCTCTTTTTTGTTTTTGCTTTTTTATTAAATTTTTTGTGTCTTTTTTTCCACGTTTAATTTTTTTTGTCACTTTTTTCTTTTTTGCAGGAAATCAACAACAGCTAGAGGTGAAAGTACTGGATTTCTGTTACAGCACTGACGATAGCATCAACAAACCCATCGTGAACCAACCCTCCCCCCTTTAGCTGCTCCATCAATATGTACACAAATAAACTACATTGTACAAATAAAAAAAAGAAAAAAGAAAAAGAAAAAAAATGTTACATTGTTACATCATAATCACCTGCAGCGAGCGCGACACGGCCCGTTGCTGTTAGAACCCCACATTCTACGCAATTTTTCAGACTAGTACAAAGAGGAGGGTGCAAAACGTCCTGGGAGGTTTTATTTACAGAGCTATGTACAGTATGTCTCTTTCACGCATTACAAGGAGGAAAATTTACACAGCGGAGACCAACTTCAACTCAAAACATACCACAGGTGCCAGAAAAACAAAACAAAACGAAAACAAAATAAATGATAATAAATAGGTTATTTCCCACCATTTAAAAGAGTAGTTCTCCATGCTTTTTATTAGTCATAATCCATTCTAAAAAATAAAATAAAAAGGAACAAAGAATTTACAAAAACAAAAAGGCTTGAAATCGTGATTCTACATAATGAAACTAAATCATGTATATTTTTATGTCCAGTAAGAAAACACAACAAGTCTAAAAACAAACATTATGAGCGAATGTGAGTAGAGTAGAGGTAATATGTTGCTGACTGAGGTGGTGTCAGGCTAGCATCTGTATCACCACGGCCAAGAGCTCTACTATGCATCTGCTGTGTGTCTCTGTATCTTAGCCGAATATTCACGCCGGATGATCAAAGTGAATGGATGTGTGTTTGGTCTATTGCTCTGTGCAGCTGGGGAACGGAAGGGGGGAGGGAGATCACCTGTCGGCTGTGTCGACCATCACCATTTCAAGCCTTTGTAGGTTGTTAAACATACGAACGATGGCAGAAGTACGAACAAAGGCAGGGCTATGAAACTGTTTTTATGTTTTGTTTTCAAAAAAAAAGAAAGAAAAAAAAAAAAAAAGAAGAAAGGTGCCACTCAAAACGGAAACGCTCTCGATGTGTTGTAAACAATAGTGAGAGGGTGTCGGTCAGGGCGTTGTAGCGGTATACATTCTGCTCAATAAGCAACGTGATTGACATGCCACTGGTTTTTATACAGAACAGAACCCCTCCCCCTCCCTCCCCCAAAGATAAAACACAACAACATTCAAAGCTACATACACTTTTTGCTAAAAAACACACAAGGATTCTTGAACAAAAGACACCCGCGACCCTCGTCCCCAAAACTGTAAGAAACCAACAGTAAAATAAAAACATGAGTTTTAAAAAACAATTTTTCCAGACTTTTTGTTTCCAAACATATACCAAACCAGGGTGTGTGTGTGTCTCAAAATTAAAAGAAAAAAAAAAAATAATACCCAGGACAATACATCTAGCCACCTTGTCTGCACAGTGTAATAGCAACAACCATTGCACTTGACTAGACATACCATACACAGCTATGCTGACTGACAGTGTGTAAATAACTTAAAAGTTTAGGATCAGAATATTGCCATCAGGATACGTGAGCAGCTTTCACACACAAGACCGTGTGCGTGGGGCAGGTCGGGAAAGCTTTTCAAAACCCACTAAAAACAGAGAACCAATACAAGTCATCACAAATCAACGGTTCAATGGGATCCTTTCGTTTTTAAAAGTCAGTCTATTCAGCATTAACCTATTTCTTCCCCCCTCCACTGCTTCTGTTGACGTCTGTTCACTTTTTGGTTTGTTCTGAGAAGATTTGAGTCTGGTAACCTGTCTCCTCGGGCCTGACACAAGACACCACACAACTGAATAATAACAGGAAGTAACCGAAACATTTAAAATCCCTGACCACACTAGCCCCAGCCCCTTGTAGGATAAAAAATAAAAAAGGAGGACAACGTGACTTGGTTGTTGAGCCTATTCCCGTGATTTTAAGTGGGTGTTGTACTGGAGTCCTAACATGGAAATTAACACCTTTAAAATCTACTTTAAAAAACACCCGTCTAAGTGGAAGGCCTCAGGTCTGCTGAGCCATGAATAAGTGTTTTTCTTTCTGACACACTGGCACCACCTAGTGAGTAAAAGATGTAACAGCACCATGAAAATAAGCTGCTCACCAGTACTGTGACATAAGGGGCTGACAGACTGACAGTGTTTTTAGGAGTCTGTGAGGAATGAAAATGTCTCTGTGCCTGTTACAACTCTTCAGTCAGTTCAATGTGAAGTCAGACACTGGGAGGACAGGACGAGTAGTGAAGCGCTGAAAGACCCGTGTCTTGTTGGTTTTAGACTGTGACGTTGTGCGATGATTCATAAAAAAAAAAGTCAAATTGTTTTCTTTAAATTAAAAACAAGCGAAATAATAATTTCAAACAGTTCTACACTCATATGGTTTTGCTTGTGAATGACATCTCTCTTCCATCCCACCCATATATATATATATTTATTTATATACTTCTGTGTGACTTTGCCCAACAATGAGTACATTTTTTTTTTCACTGAAAAAGGCATTTTCTTGGTTCGAAAATTTTCAGATATAATTGTGTAGTAAAGCAATGAATAATAATCCTCTGTCTATTCTTTAAATAAATCCTCAACAACTATTCTGCTACATCTGAGGGGGCTGTATGGTTGTCGGCCCGTGAGAGGCCCATTTGAATGCAGAAGTGTTCTCTGTCAGCTGCTTGTGTTGCGGTGACTCGGGTCCAGGCGAGCCGCCTCACCTAACCCCGGATCGAGTCAAAAAATGGGATTATACAACTGTGCACTGGAGTCTTTCAATACTGACAGAATCGTGTACATGTTTTGGCCCATGGATATGAAGGGGGAAAGTGCTGCCCAAAAGTGAACTGTACATAAAAAGATAATTTTTATTTCTTTTATGTTTTTTTTTCTTTACACTTAACTGAGTGATATTACAGTACATAGGTTATTTACAACTGTGCAGTAATGTGTGGCAAAATAAATTATCTAGAAGGCAGCAAGAATACATTGGTTAACGAATATAAAAACTGTACATAATTTACGGAATACAACTTTTTTTCAGTTTTCTTTTGTTTGTTTTTTCCATTAAACTAATATTGGCTCTGTAGTGTTTCAAGTCACTTCCTCAGAAACAATGAAATGCCCAAGTAAAGAAATAGACAAAAACAATATTTCTCTCCTGCCAAAAACCACAATTTCTCAAATAGTCTCTTTGAATCTCAACATTCGTTGTGTTTGTTTCTTCTGGTTGTCCTGTGTGTGTGTGGTTTCTTTTTTTTTTTTTTTTTTCTTTTTTTGCAGTCCATGGCGGTCTGATGTGTTTTGTGGTGGAACGAGCGGGATCTCTGAGGAACACTCCGGTCTGTCCTCAGAGATCCGTTCATGTCCTCTTTTGTTAAGCCAGGCTGAGAGGCTGCACGAACGGTCTCTTCCTCTCAGACACTGGGCCCTGACGTGCACACACATCGTGACCCCCACCCTCTCTTGCTTTGTTCCAACCTGCTGCAGCCTTTGTTTCACTACTGTTTAGCCAAGCTCGGTGCAGTGTGAACAGAGAGGGCGTCCTCTGGGTATCTGGGTCTCATAGCCCTAAAAGTGGCTGCTTCTAACCTCCTGGATCAATTTAAGGATCCACACAATTCACCACGGCTCCACTGACTGCATCTGGGTCAGCGCTGGACTCTGTCAAGATCTCCTGGCCCATGTGGAGACTCGTGTCAAAAAGAAGGAGGCGTCTCCTCAGTCCTCCCCCAGGACAGGCACCACTCTGTTGGGAGAGCTCTTCTCTGGTAGATCCCACAGTAGCAGCGGTGGTGGGTACTGAAGCAGGAACCACAAACGAATGCAGAAAATAAATCTGTCCTCCGTCTCACCAAAACTAAGCGATGAGGAGGTGTGTCCCAGTGCCAGAGCCTCAAAGCAAAAACTGTTTCTGCTTCTCTCGCTCTGATCAAACAAACGCATAAAAACTTTGAGGATGAAAGTGCAAGTTGTGTATTTTCTTTTCCCCCATTAAAAACATTTTTTTCTTTCTTCACGGAAGGGAATCGAGAGCAAGTTTTTCAGCTTTATTCTTTTTCTAGAGAATAAATTTTTTCCCCCTCTATGGTCCTCTCTCAAACTTGCTAGCCCTTTCCATTCGTTCGGTTCAACGAAGTCTCCTTGATAAGAAGTGACTGAGACTAAGTTTTCTCTCTGTGGGAAGCGGTATGTCACGCGGGCAGCAGGACAAAGTCGTCGTTGACATCGACCATTGGCACGTAGAAGGACGGCACTTCGTTGACGCACAGGGATTTGTGCCCCGCTGGGTCCAGTTCTTGGACTTTCAGCTGCCACTCCATTCTTTGCACCGCATTGAGAGCTGCTGCCTCGTGCTGCTGTCGCATCAACAAACACGTCTGGGGAAGGAAAAGCATAGCATGAATATAGTGACCATGCACACAGGTCATGGTTCTCATATGTAGAGATGTACCATTAAATATGTAATATCGGCATCAAGATGGCATTTAGCAAAGTCAGTGGTTGTTACTTTGTGCTTCTATTATCAGTTATTTTGTGCAAAGTGCCAGTATTTACCTTCATGCGGTCGTATTTATCATCCACGTCCTGGATCCAGGAAATGAACTGCCGCGCATTGAAGCGATCTCTCACAGATTTGTTCTCATCACCCTAAGAATGCAGAAAAAGTAAAAATGTGGACTAAGTAATGGACATAGAAATACTTAACTGATGGTTTTAGAGATACTGATACATTTCCCACCTGGCTCTCCGATGGCATATTGTACACTTCAGAGTCCAACAGCATGGTGCAGGCGCTGAACGGCACAGCCTGATTGGCTATTGTCCTGGCTGCCCTGCAGTGGACCCTTAAAACCTCCTGTTCACATGAAACAATCAGCTTCTCCTGTGAACAGCAAGCACAACACAGAAAGAAATAAACATTGATGATATGAAGAGGAACATCATTGCGTCAAACAAATGGCTGTCATTCAAGTAAGTGAGATATATGAAACAGATTTGTTCACTTTGGCTTCACCAAGGCGTGGGGACTATGCCGATTTCACTTGCATTTCCATTTAAAAAAGGCTTTGATCTTTTATCAAAGAAGTGCTCCCAGCGTTTGGTGCACATGTGTATTGTTGAATGTATAAAAAGCAGGGAAGGAGTGAGGAATGAGTGAATTTAGGACAGTGAATGATCCTGAAGTATAAATGACACTTTCTTACCCGTTCTATGCTGTGTTGCAACCTAAGCTTGCCCCTTACTGCCTCTTGTTGCCTAAAGAGCTCCTTCAGAGGTTCTGACAGTGATGGAGGTGGAGCAATCTGATAAGCAAAACACAGCACAGCATTAATACCATTACATTGCAGGATAAGATTATTTTGAAATGGTGCAAAGACACCAGAACTTACCACAGGGATGTGCAACTTGCTGAGAGGCTTGCCATCAAGCAGGTAGGAGCCAGTGTAGGTTACATATTCAGCGTAACACTGTGGAGCCTGAGGCGTGATGTAGCAGAGAATCTTCCTCTTTTCCTCAATCTTCTTCCTAATCTGCAGATAGTCAAAGTACGGGTTGGAACGTTCGCTGCGGTAGGGTTCAATGTCGTCTAGCTTGATGGCATTGACCACTACAGCTAAAGTCTGCTGTATCATCTCCCTGGTCTGCTGCATGGCTGTATTTACCAGCTGAACCTGGACTTGCTGCCCTGTAGAACGTGGAAACTTCCTCTTCCGTGGGTGCTGGGTTTGAGATTCCTCTTCGTCGACAGGAAGAGGACGACCTTTTGTTGTCTTGCTGAGAACCACCGTAGAAGTCGTCACAGATACTGCTGGGGTCAAATTAGAAGCAGTAGACGGGACACTAAGCCCAGAGTCTTTCTCTTTCTTCAGAGCTGTAAAGGAAGATGCTGAGGTGGGTGTTGGGGTTCTAGTAGGAACTGGGTTAATGCTCACCACCGGACTGGTTGTCACTGAGGTGGCAGCGGTAGACGAGGTTATTATGCTAGAGGTAGGAGGGGTGGCAACGGCAAAAGCAGCAGCTGGATTGTTCTTGGCGCGATTTCGGGTCATCCTTTGCGGGATTTCATCCACCTTCTTGGGAACATCTACAGGGGCGGACACTGTGGTCAAGGTCACCAATGTTTGCTTGGATGTGTCCTGAGTGTCCTGTGGCTCCACGGAGGTGGAGAGGGTGACCACTTCTGGGATCTGAGGAAGAGGACTGCAGGACACAGGCTCTGGTACAGCCTCAGGCATCTCCTCCTGTCTCGTGTCTGGCTTGACAGCAGGCACAGAGTCCAGGGTTATATGCAATGACTCAGAGTGCGAATGCATCTGTATATGTGGTTGCTGACTGGCATCTGATTTTACAGATGTATACAACATGCTGGGATCCGACTCATCCGATCCCCCATAAGGTAGTTTTCTTTCCAAAATGCTGCTCTGTTGTTGGTTAAGTCCCACTGAGCTGTTGACAGGCACACTTTGAGGCTCGGGGTCCAATTCCTGCTGGAAAGGGGCACGTGGTGATGGCACAACAAAGTCCTGTCTAGCAGATTCCCCTAAGCCTAAGTCTCCAGCAGAGCGTGAGGTCTTTGCTAGAGTTGGCAAGTCTACTTCCATGATGTCCAGATCCTCTCTGTCTGTAATAGTGTGTCTAATGTGGGTCGACACACTCTTGTTGTGATCAGCAAGTTCAGGTTCCCCAGACTCAGCTTCTTCTGACTTGTCTGGCAGTGGAAGGTCAGGCAAGGAGAAAGGTCCCAGGTCGTCTTCATCAGCTGAAAATGGATCTTCCCAGGGAACCACAGGCTCAGGGCCCACAGCTGGAGCCATGTGAGTTTCAGCGGCAGCACTGAAACTGTGTGTGCTCTGTCTGCTGTCTGGTTCCACACATGTTGTCTCTGTCTCCATCTGGTGTCCCTCTTCGATGCTCGGCTTGTTGCAGTCCGGAAAGAAGGACTCCAGCCTATTGGAGGAAGAAGAGTTGTTTAAATAGTTGGGGTCCTCATCCATAGCAGTGTCTGGCCTCTCTGGAGAGGGTATATCAGCCACAGCCTCCTTCTGCTCATCAAAGTCCTCTGGGTCATCTTTGTGCCACCTGCTCCAGGTAGCATAAGGGGAAGTGACAGAGGGGTGTCCAGACAAGGGCTGCATGTCATTATCAGAATGGGAGTAAGGGCTGGTTATTTTGGAGACAGCAGCCTCTATTTCTCCATATGTCCTGTGGGGAGATTTCATATCCATGTCATTGTTCCAACCCATGTTGTGATCGAAACAGTTCTCTCCGTGGTCAGCTGCAGGATGTGTGGGGGACAGTTGGTGGACTTCTGGCTCATGCTGGTCTGGAGACTCTGCAGGCCAGCTCTTCTGCAAAGGATCCTCAACTTGAGGAGAAAACGAGCATGGCTCCCTTGTTTGGTCCGGCTCATCCACTGCACAGTGCTCTCCATCAAGTCTCTCATCCATGTCGCCCTCTTCCTCCTCCTCTTCCTCCTCCTCCTCCTCTTCTTCTTCCTCTTCTTGTTCTTCTGTGACAGATGGAAGATTTGAGACGACCAGATTAGGCTCGCTGTGGTGGTGCTCTGTGATATCGTCGATATCCAAGGGTGGCAAGGCAGCTGGAGCTGGAGTTGGTGGTGCTGCAATGTCAAAGCATGGCTCCTGGGGGTCTGGCCTGTGAACTGGTGTCGACGGTTTGGGCAAGAAATTGTTGTACACACTTTCAGGAAGGTGTTCATTACCGTCGTTGCCAGCAAGAGTTGGTGTTGCTGCATCTGGTGTTTGATAGGATGGCTCTCGCCGAGGCGACGGTACCCTTATTGGAGGAAAATACGTAGACATCAACTCCAATCTATCCAGAGTTGCAGATTTGTCCTCGAGAGGCTGACAGGCAGACGTCTGATCAAATTCCGCCCCTGGATCATTCTGCTGTCGAAGAAACTTGTTTGCCTCTGCCTTGAACTCATCTTCTAGAGGGCGGCGGACATCAGAGGATGCAGAACGACTGACAAGGGGGAGCTGGAGGTTCTTCGCAGGGGTAGGACATGTGCCCTCTGGAAAAGTCTGGGGGTTAGAGTACCTGCTAGTGGACAAAGAGAAAAACAAAACATTAAGCCTCAGTCCAAAACAATCAAACTATAACATTAGTAACATGCAGTGTGTCTGAGTATTAAAATACCTTTCAAAGAAGGATGGGGAGCAGGCATTCATTGACATAGTCATTGCAGACGAGTTCTGACAGTCCAGCGGATCCAGCATAATGTCAGGGTAATCCTCTGCACTACAGGATGGTGTACGTGGAGTTTGCATTACGTCCTCGAAGCTGGGGCATGACATGACAGGTGTAGGTGTGGGAACACCAGTTGGCCTGCTTTGATCTGGCCTGGGAGAAGCAGGGAGGTTGTCCTTGATTTGGTGGCCAGGGAGCCAATCCTTTGAGTTCTGATTATCAGTAGGCTGGAACTTTCTGCCTGGAGACATCATTTGGGCCGGGAGACCAACATCCTTCAGCTTCTTCTCTTTAAGACCAGACTCAAGGCTGTTAGATTTCTTGGATGATAGCTCACTGCGGCTTTTCCGTATTTCCTCTGTAGACTTGGTTTTGTCTTTTAGTTTTGGGTCGCCAGACTTGGGTCTAAGCTTCTCCATCTGCTTCATTTTTTCTCTGTATTTCTTGAGACGCTCTTCATTCTCTTGGTCTTTCTGACTCAACATCTGACCAAAACTTGTCATCTGAGAATCCCCATCAACCAACAGTTTTTCACGTGGTCGATTATCTTTCCTTGCATTGTCTTTGGGCTGAGAGAGCTTTTCATTTTCATCCTTAGCCTTAGATTTATTGTGGTCCAGTCTGTTGTCTTTGTCTAGCGTATCCCGATTTCTGTCTTTTTTCATATCAAATTTAGGACTGTCTTCCTTTGACCGGTCCTTCAGAACAGTGACCTGTGGGCTGTCTTTCAACCCTGACTTTGCGTCATCTTTGGAGTGTTTAAATGACCCAAAGCCATCGATATATTTATTCTTCTCTTCCTTAATTTTTTCTTTATGCTTTTCCTTTTTCTTTTTGTCTTTCATTCTGTCACTTATGACACCAGTTCCTTTGTCTTTGTCCTTTTTGGACATCTCCTTCTCAAATTCTAATGTCTTATCGAAGTCGTCCTCTCCGTCTCCCTTACCTCCGTATGGGAATGTGTAAGGGTCTGCCTCTAGAGGCATAGGCTCTTTCTCAAAAGGCAGGCTCTCTCTGCGGCCGTAGGACTCTCTAATTTCTTCTGTTTTGTCACGTTTGTCTCCTTTGTCTTTTTTTGTCTTTTCCTTCTCCTTGTCATGGCTTTTCTTGGATGAGGACGAAGAGGAGTGCCGATGCCTCTCTTTCTCTCTGAACTTGTCTTGTGGCGTAGATATGGACAGGGAGTCTCTTCTGTCCTCGGCCATATCAGGCAGGCTGATTGAGTCATAGTAACTGGTGAGGACGGGATCGTGACCTCTGTCAGTGAAACTGTCGGAGGAGATTTCACTGTTCTTGTCATTGGAGTCATCCTTGTAGTCATTCATAGCCTCCTCCTCCAGTTTTTCTAAGAGAGACTTCTCATTCTCCCCGCTTCCTTTCGAGGGCTTTCTTTCCTTGGAATGGTCCTGCTTGTCTTTATATTTGCTCTTGGTTTTTTCCTCGCTCGTGTCCCTTTTGTCCAGAAGCTTCTGCTTGTTTTTCTTCTCTTGGTTTGAGTCCACTGACATCCTGTCTTTCCTCTCCTTATGTTTTGTATCTACCGGGTCTTTCCTGTCCTTGCTGTGTTTCTCCTGGGAGCCTTTCCTCTCTTTACCTGTGTCAAATGTGGCCTTATCCTTCTTCTTATCTTTGTGCTCTTTGTCTTTTGCCTTTTCTGTGTTATGTTTACTATCTGCAGAAGATTTTCTTTTTTCTGAAGGGAAGTGATCCAGCTCATCTTGATCGGGTGTCGAATCTTTTCTGATGGAATCAGACACCAGTACCCCACCGCTGTAGCTGTCGTCGTCATCATCGCTTTCATCAGTGAATATGTCGGCTATTTTGTACCACGTTTTCTCCCGGATCTTCTCAGTTTTTCTTTCCTCTTTCTTTACCTCCAAGAAATCTTTCTCCCGATCTGAATGTTTGTCTTGAGAGGCCTTCTCTTTCTTTTCCTTTGTCTGTTCTGAAGACATCTTTCGATCTTTGTCTTTGCCATGAGAGTCTTTATGTTTGTCTTTGGCCCCCTCCTTCTTGTCTTTGGTACTCCGGTCAGCATCTTTATCCTTGACAGTTTTTTCTGTGGAGCTTTTCTCACTCTTGTCCTTCTCCTGATCAGCTCCTCTGTCTTTTGTTTTCTCTTTGTGCTTGTCAGCTTTTGTCTTTTCCCGTTTCTCCATTCCCTCACCCTTCTTTTCTTTCTCCTTCCCAGAGTGGTTCCTTTCTCTGATATCACACGATTTACTGACAGGATCAATGTCTTTGAAGAAAGTATCATTGCCATATTCATCTCTTATCGATTCCTGCTTGATTTTGATATCCTTTCTTTCTTTCATGAACTCATACGAGTCTTTACGGTCTCGACTGCTGTCCAGAGAATCCTTGTCTTTTTTGTCCTTGGCTGCCTCTGTGGACTCTTTCCTCTTCTTTTCTTTCTCAACTGAGTGGCTGGAGTTTAATTTTTGTTTTTCTGACCAGTCTTTCTTCTTTTCGTTTGTCTTTTCCGAAGGGTCCTTGTCTTTTTTCTTAGAAGTAGCCTCCTTTTCTGATCTCTTCTCATTGTGGTCTGATTTCTTGTCCTTGACTTTGTTTTCTTTCCTCCTCGTCTCCTCCTTAACAGTCTCAACAATAAGTTTAACAGAATTATTGGCTTTGTAGTCCTTGTACTCTTTGACAGGAGCATCCCAGCTGTCGTCGCCATAGAGGGAGGAGTCAGAGGACATCTCAGAGCCCCATCTGTCATGATGGTCATCGGAGGCACTGAGTTTTGTGTCCTCCAAGTTGAGGAAACGATTAACGTCATAGCTTTCGTACTCAGACTCCTCTTTCTGTACTTTGTCTTTTTTACACTTCTCCTTATCCTCCTTGGCATTTTTGTCCTTTTCCGCCTTCAGATGTTTTTCCTCTTTCTGCTCACTTTTCCTGTCTGTCTTTGAGGAGGACTTCTCCTTAGACTTTTTCTTTTTCTCCTCTTTGTGAGCCTTTTGTTTATCTTCCTTGGGTTTCTCCTTCTCTTTGACGTTCCTCTCCTTGTCAGATTTTATAGGCTTTTCCCTCTCCTCCTTATTTAACTTGTCCTTGGTGGAGTCCTTTGTTTTCTTGTTTTTCTCCTCTTTTGTTGTTCTGTGCAGATCTTTTCCCGAGGACCAGTCCTTATCCTCAGACTTTGTTTTCGAAAACCTGTCCTCCTTTTTCGAATGGTCTTTTTCATGTTTGGATAATTTGACTTTGCTCTCAGCTGGTGATTCTGACTCAACAATTAGGGACTTTTGCCTCGAATCATCAAAATCAAAAGAATAGCTCTTAACAAATTTCTCATTCATATCTTGATTAAGCACTAGACTAGGAGCTTTGTCCTTCTCCTTATTTTTGTGCTTGTGCTTCACTTTATGCTTTTTCACCACTTTGCCATCCACGTCAGTTTTGGAGATGATGCTCTCTGTATTTTTGTAGAGCTCTGAGTTTTTCTTTTCCACAGTGTTACTGTGCACGTTGTTATTCTTCTTTTTGTTTTCCTGCGCTTTCCTCTTTACTTGTTTTATCGACTCCACGCTGGAATCTGCAGAGGAGTAGTCAGACTCACTGGACAGTCTAGTTCTGACCGAATCTGAGAGCGAACTGACCTCTGACCATGTGGGAGACGACACGGTCTTCCAGTTATCCGTCCTCCACTGCTTTGGATGCTGTTCTGCTAAAGACGGCGTCTGTTTCTGAGAGTTCAAGTTTCCATGGGAGGAGGAGGAGGAAGCATTAAAGCCTGGAGAGTCTTTCAGGTTTGCTGCAGAAGAGTCTTTTATGCTATTTGAGCCCTTATCGTCCTCACTCTCCAAATCCGCGCAATCGGAGTCAGACGTACAGAATTTGTCGTTGACTTTACCAAACCGGACTTCTTTACTGACACTATTTTTACTGTCCTTCTTTCGCTTCTTCTTGACTTTATTCTTGTCTTTTTGTTGTTTAGAGCTCATGCTGCCAGAGTCTCTAGTCTTAGTATTTGTTTGCTGGGCTTGTTGCCGTGGCGTAGGCGCTGGCGTGAAACACAACGTCCTATCATCCTCGTCTGAACTATTACTGTCAGAGATGATCCGCCTGCCAGGTTTCTTTGGTGTGAGCGAGTTGCTTTTGGAATAGGTTTTAACCTCCATCTTGGGTATAGAGATGAAGCTGTTGGTCTTGCTTACTGAGTCCTTGCGGAAGTCTTTTTTCAAGAGGTGTTTATCGTCTACGGGAGGGACGCGTTCCTCCTCGTCATCCTCATCAAATTCGTATTCATCTTTGACAGGTGTGACGGCAGATTTAGGAGGGTCTGCGGTTTTCCCTTTTAACTTCGGGCCCTTCTCAACATCTGAGTCTGTGTTATTGCCATCAACAGAGCTGGACGGGGCAAACGAGGGGGCGTCTTCCTCCTCTGAAGATTCTGTAGAACATAAAGAGCACAAAGAGGACACAATTAATTTACTACTTATAGCCTCATGTATTTGAATAACTTCTGTAACAGTTGTGCAATTAGGTGACTCAAAGATTTAAGATTGAAAATCATACCTGATGAACTTTCTTCACTTGAGGTGTAAGTGCCTTTCCCCAACAACAGATTGAGCATAGTTGGAGAGTTGGCAACCTTCAGTGGGGTTTCTCCTCTCCTGTTGCTTTGACGCGGGTCCCCTCCATACCGTAAAAGTAGCTTAACCACCTGAAAAGGATAAAACTTTAATGATTTTTTGCAATTTTAAAGGTAATATCAGCAACTTCTCAAGTGGTTCAAAGCTTAATAGGATAAAGAGTACAGAATTAATCTTCCACTTCAAAGTTCTTATTTAGTTACGACGAAGCTAGAGCGGGATTTTTGATGGACAGAACTTTTCCACACCAAAACCTCCAGACTTTACTGACAGCAGACTGGGTGATGTGGCGTCTCTGCAACCAATTTTAGCAAAATGCCAAAAGCCGTGTAGAGGTGAGAAAGTATGATGGTCTGAAGCTGCTTTCAGGCCAGGAGAATCAGAGTGAGACAAATTCTAACATCTGCAAAATAGCACCAAGTAAGGGGTGGTCTTCAAAATGTTTTCTCAGTGGGGTTGTCTAAAAAAAGATTCTCAGATTCTAATCAATACTAAATGTTTAATTGGATCAATTTGTGACAGCATTGATACCAACAGTGCCATCTTAACCTCACACAACACTGCTGCAGACAGGCAGGAACACTTTATTGACACTGGTGGTGATTAGTCTTGGATGTCAAAGATCAGCAGCAAAATTAATTTGATTATAAATCTGATTACACCATTACTTCCAGATGCTCCCTGTGGACACCTTTGTGGCCAAAAATGTCTCATTGACTTCTATTAAAACAACATCAACATCTCATTTCAATGCCATTACAGTATAAACCCATGCACGGCCAGCATTTGATTTTGAGGAGAAGTAGTGAGATTTGACATTTTTACTGTATTCCACTGGTGCGTGTACCTTTTTGCAATGAAGGTGTTGAAAGGGTAGAAAATTTGAGGACAGTTCAAGAAAAAAAGACTAGTGGTACAATTCAATTTAACCTAGTATTTAAACAAAACCACATCTAAACTCACTCTGTAGCCATCTTCTCACTTTTAAAACTCAGATTTTAATCTGACAAACTTGTTTTGATGGATCACAAATGGGCCACTGATCATTAATATTTTCATTTTGAGAGACTTGCGATAATCAGCCTTCTGAAGCCTGAAAACCTATTTTGTTCTTTACTATTAGCAACAATGACACACGACACCTTTGGCGGATTTATTTTTACCTTGAAATGTCCATTATTCGATGCATCATGTAGAGGGGTGTCATCATCCAGCCCCTTGGTGTTGACCTCTGCTCCGGCTGCCAGCAGCTGTTTCGCCACATCATAATACCCCCTGTTGCATGCTTCATGCAATGCAGTCCAGCCTGAACACAAGAAGAATTATAGTCAGAGAAGTGTAAACTCTAAATGAATCAATGGTACACTGCTACACAAACAAAGCAAAGGCAAGCATAAAACAAAGATGCCCTTACCTGCAAAGTCTTTTACATTCACATCAGCTCCCTCGCTGATGAGCTCCTTGATGCGGCGTACCTCTCCACGGATTGCTGCTCTGTGCAGTCGAGTCTCTCCTCTCTCATTCCGTTTATTCACTTTGTCTTTGGTTTTAGATGCAGAGTTTGGCGTTCCCTTCTGACCCAGACTGGACTGTGACTGATGCTTTGGTGTTGTATCTGTAGGTAAGACATGCATATTTCACTTCAGTGCTGCAAGAGTCAGTCACACTCTTCTGGGAGAATTTACTCTAACTGTTTTTGTTTTGTTTACTACTTCTACTGTGAACAACAAGGTGCTATAACTGCTTACAGCCAGAAGGGGGCAATCCAACTCTAGCAATAAACAGCACAATTGCTGAACCTACTTTACTTGAGCTTATTTCATCACATTTACAAGATTAAATCCAATCCTTAATCACATTTACATTATTGAGTTTGTATAGCTATTGTCCCAAATGATATTTGAAACACACTCGCTTAATCTATGTCCATGTCCACAGGCAGGCAACAAAGAAATTAACATACAAATAAAAGCAGTTATAAGGTAGGATCAAACTAATTCAGTCTCAAATGTCAACAATGAGGGGAAAAAGTACAAACTTGCAACAATAGTTATATTTCACAAGTCTGAAAAACTTCCAGCTAAATTACTGTCGATCAAAAATAAAGTACAATTTTTGCAGAAATGGGAAGGTAGTAAACTTATAATAAGAAAAATAATCATCTAACACCAGAAAGGATAACACAACACTTTCTCTGTTGTCATTTAGCCCAAATAGTGAGATTACGCCATCAGCTCCAGACGCAGTACAAACAGAAAAGCTGGTTTCATTTCCTTATGTACGGAATTTTATAAAAACAACTCCACTACTGTGGCGGCACGAATATGCAACCATTAAAGCAGCTAAAACAAAACACATATCACTGACATCAGAGGTTTAGATTCCAGCTAAGATGTGAAATAATTTTAACAAAGTGGTTCTGTTTAGAGGGACAGTATGACTGAGAAAATGCACAAAAACAATCAGCCCCAGCCTGCAGCCCACCCTCACTGGTCTGCCATGCATGGATTCTACATATAAAGTTCCCTCCGATCCTTTTTTTCCCCCCAATGTTGGCTGTCCGTCCACAGAAGACGTGGCCTAAATGATAAATACGCACCTGGACTGTTGACGGACTCTTCAGCTGTCATTTGCATGAGCAAGGCCACCTGCTGCCGCTCGGAGAGGGGGTACCCGGCCCGGATCCCTGGCATCCCCATTCCAAACGGCAAGCTTGCCTTCCGGGTGTTGGTGGGCTCTTTTTTAATGCGTTTCCGCTCTGGACCTGGTTTCTCTGTAACGAGAGAGGAGAGAAGCAAGGTTAATATCGCTGCATGTGCAAAAAGCTGCATGATCATTCATACACAGACACACACAAATCTAATCTACTGATCCATGTGGTCAGGGAGAGTAACGGGAGCCTTATTAGTGCTACAACAGTAGAAGACATTAACTGTTATGAATTGGCAATTTTTAAAAGAACACTAAAGGCTCACAGCAGTAACACCACTTTCAAATGTTTCTAAAAGACAGATTATTAAAGTTCATAAATCAATAAATAACTAGTAAACATTCACTATGACACATCTCCAAAGGTGTTTTATGACTTTCCAGATCAAGTATAGAGTACTGTAGATCAGCACTGAGTCCAAACAGCTTCTTTACTGTTGGCATCAATCAAGTAAGTGTCATGTATATGTGAGAACAGCTGCTTTCATAAATGAAATTCAGACAATGTCAACATAATCTGACCGAGGGAATCAGATGTGGGCATTATCTGAAGTTGTCCTTTGTGACATGGTCAAACTGGAAATACCCTGCTTAGTTTTGGCAAGGACTGGCACCAGTGTACAGAAAGCCGGAGGCGGCACACACGACGCCCACACACTCCCATTGAATTCACTCTTTTAAAAAAAAGAAAAACTACCTGATCTATTCTCACAAGCACTAGACTGGTCAAGACTGGCTGCCAGGTAATTCTGAGGAAAGTTCAGGGCTGCACTGCTACGTGTGAATAGAGATTTACAGAGCGATAGAAGGTACTTTATTCTTCCCACAGGGAGGCATTTCTATATACCAGGGGCAATCTTTCAGTCACCAAATGAGCAACAACAACAAAAGCATTTTGTCAAACCAAAAAACAAAACCAAAAAAACAAAACCAAAAAGTATTCATTTTTATCAATAATCAATGGGTTTCTCCCTATTTATTTCACACATTTTATCCTCTTTTTGAATTTCCATAGCAAACCCTTTGCTACTTTCCATGACCTAAACGGGCCTCTGTGAAACAAAAACAAAAAGAAAACAAAGACTTGCTCGCTTACTGCATTCTGTAAATGCAGCCGTATGTGTGAGAGGTTTGTTGGCACCAGTGGGCGACTTTTGTGTTATTACCCAGCTGCCCTTAAAGAAGGGAGGGGCCAACAGGCAGTGTGTTTATGTCTGTCTGTCTCCAAGCCAATCAGCCAGAATGGAGGAAAAAAGGAAAGAGGGTGTGACTTGGCACAACCATAGTTATTACGAAATAGCTGGTGTACATTTCAATTCAACATGGCCTTGCCAAGGTCACCACATGCCTGCCTGCCTGCCAGGATTACTGGAGACACAGTGCTACTGGACAAAAGCAGCTGCTCCACAAAGACACACCCAGCAATTATTTTCAGTGGCAACATACCATCTGATGACCCATACAGAGGGTAACGCTACACATGACTGCAGCGCTTCATTACCGAGGGGGATCAAACCTCACAGTTATAATTCAAGCAACAATACAGGCCTCCGGTCATAGGGAGGAAGAAGCAAATTCAGACGTGCGTGTACAAAGACGCTGTGGACCAGTAGATGTGTCTGAGTCTGATTTCTGAGCAACTTCTCTCACTCCCAGACTGGAAGCACTGCAGGCCACAAACACAAGTAAATAAGGCAAGAAGGAAGCATGGCAGTGCAGCCTTCCGGTGTCTAAAAACTTTCCAGGAAAATATTTTTCCACTCGCAAGTACAGGGCTGATGAACTTTCACTAACATCTGTGAATACTTAAAGCTAATGTACCCTCCACCCCTCTTTGATACAGTCTCACGTTCCCCAAAGCATTTGCCATTTAGACACATTCCTTCTGCTAAGCCTTTAACAGCAGGGACCACAGAAACAGCCCAAACATGTTTTTTTCAGCAGCAGAACAGAGAAAGAGCTAAGCTAGCTTTTCCAAGCTATGTTTATTAGACTGAGAAGCAGGAAGGCAGTTATTACCCAGCTGCACTTAAAGAGATCTGCTGCTAAACATACAAGACCCAAGTCTCTAATACAACCTTCATCACCAGTGGCAAAAAACTGTCCTTCTGCGATACAGATCAGACTCTAGGCGACCTCTCTAAACAGAAAAGAAGCACTTTCTATAAATCCATGCTGCATAATTATAATCAAATACAGCAGTTGCAGGAGGTATGATCACCATGTTAAAGGGAAAACTACAAAAGAAACACTAGCGAAGCAGCAATAATTATATTGTGAGAAATATGAGCATAAAAAATATGCTCTTTCCATTCATGAAGGAAGGAATGTGACTTTGCTTTCACTACATTTTTGTCTGGTTAATCATCGTGGGAATTTTAAGGAAAGATACGGATCAAAATATTTGAAGAAAAAAAGCTTGGTAAAATGCAACTGTGTTAAATTATCACCACACAAATCAAATTAACATGTCACATGTGGATTTCTGAATTAAAGAAATTAAACTCAGTATGTCTGTCTGCTGGATGTCTATTTAGGCAAAACTGCAGGGCTTTTATGTGGCTTAGTAAAATGATATTACTCAGCTTAAAGACAGGGTTGAAACCTTACTCTCCTCACTGCCTGAAACTTGACTAACAAGATAAAGGAGGAGGAGACTGAAAAAGGAAGGAAAGCTGGGTAGGGACTATCACCCCATGACTAGCCTGCCTACCTGAGCCAGGAGGGAGGGAACCACATCAAACACAAATGTCGGGATATAATGGGGGCAGATTCTGATATGGTAGACAGACAATATGACAGTGTGAGCTAACGCCAAAACAAAGAGACTGTCTGCTTCACTTAGCCAACAGACACCATGACAAGAAGAACCGCTCCAACCAGCCAGACCAAGTCTGACCGTAACGCGGGAGCATCGAGCAATGTTCTGTTTAACGACCCAAAAAGTCACATAAACAGGAAGCTAAGGGAGAAGAGGCAGGAAGTGGCCAACAGGATGTTTTCTCAATGATTCGCACTGAGCAAGAGAAAGTCAGAAATGTATAGAAAGAACATCATGTGGTGCAGGACGCTCTGTTTGTCAAACAGATGCAGTCAGTGAGTGCGCCTTCTGTCTTTTGTTTTTACTCATAAACATTGTGAATCTGGGAAGATAATCTATGCGCTATAACCAATTAACGAGAATACATGTGTGCACTGAGGATCCTTGCACACCACTATCTGTTTTTATGACCTGTCTCAGCCAAAGCTTCTCAGACATGGCAATAATTAATATCTTAGAATGCTGCCAAAGAGGACAAAATGACTCAGTTTGAAAAGAGTAAGGTGAGCTGAAATTTCAAAAACACAAACAGAAGAGCTGATTGAGATAATGCCAACCACCCAGTCACATATCTGCGTCCTTTAAGTCTGCCCCTTTTTACATCCCCATCCCCAAAAAGGTAGTTGCTCCTTTTTGCATCTGCCAGTAGCTACGTATACTAATATCCCTTTTTCATTAAGACCTACTTGGCTTGACGTGACACAACTCAAGTCATGTAACTGATGCGCGTGGGGTAATTATAGCAACTCAGCCAAAAGTTGTTATTCTTATGTGACACAACACAACACAACACAACACTGTAGGGCGTCGAGGTGATGGTATACCTGCCGCTCTGCCTACAGCTTTTTCCCCCCCATACTCTGAGACCATGGTGTTGGGCTTAGTGCTGCCAATTCCCTCGTTGGGTTTAAAAAAAAAAAAATTGCAGTTTTAATTTTTGTGAAGGAGTCGCTCTCATGTCATATTTTCACCTCAACTCAGATGGCCTGGAACCTGGGCTTGGTGCCTGGTACCAGACACTACCACCTAATGGAGCCAAGCCCAGCAGAGTAGGTACTAATTGAAAAGGGTTATAACTCAATGCCCAGACACAACCGTGTCAAGCACTTTTGTTGGTTACATCGTGGACTCTACAGAGGTTTACAGCAGAAGAAGAAATTAAACATCAGAAGATACAAATTGTTTTCCAGTAAAAAGAGCAGCAGCAGGAAGAAATTTGGTATTTTCCTGCCTGCCCATTACAATCCACGAGAGACGTGTGCGGACTAACTGAAAGACGTAGGCGTAGCTGCAGCATTGTGCCCCCAAAACACACTGACAGACCCTGTGCTTAGTGGGTGTATCCACAAGAGCTCCACCCCCAAATGATGTCATATTTCAAATTGTTTGGAATAGAAGGTCTGTGTATTTACACAACGCTGAAAATGCCTGCAGTGAAAAGATATTCAACAGCAGCTGAGCCGTGAGGAAAGTTCATGTAAAACTGGGCTAACTGACAGAATGCCATCACACAGTATACTATCGAATGATATTAGCCAGATGGTAATGGTCAATACTGATGTTTTTAAAAGCAAAGAAGGGATGGGATACACATAAGACACACCGTGCCTGAATAAAAAAAATAAACAAAGACACAAAAAAGACCCACACTGGGTGATATAATTTTGATTGGAATATAATAGAAGGGTATACTGTACGAATTTTAAAAAACGTATTAATCGTGCTCTCTAAACAGCTATATTTATCCGTCACCAGTGTGCAAGCCACAAAGGAAATGAGCATTGAAAGAGAGGCACAGATTAGAGGGG